GCACATGCAGTTTCTAAGAACTATCCGCCAGTAGAACTCTGACATACTCAAGCCTTCCTAGCAGTGAGGGTAAGAAATGTGGGTTAGCCATGCTCTAAGAACAGACAGGAAGTGAGCTTGGTGAGTATACAACATTTTCCATCCAAGTCCAGATGCCTGAGAGCAAGTTATTAGGTTAATTTTCTCCTTCATTAGAACTACCACTTCCCCTCCCTGAGTCCACTTCCAGGCCCGTGATCTCTAGGTGCCTTGAAGTTTGCTCCATAATATCTGGATGTAGATCCTTAGGGTCTGGAAATCTGTGAACTAAAAAGACAAGTTAATGGCCTTGCTCTTCTGTAGCTAGTATCGAGTAATGAAGTAGGGACGATTTCTTAAAGTAACACACTGTCCCAGTACCTCCTCTCTTTGTTAGAAAGAAGCACGAGAGGCATCTACTCCATGGATAAAGGATGAAGCAATGAAGACAGCCTATGGGGTGAGCTTTATGGGATGCAGGGTGTTCTGGTGAAAGCCAGTAGGAAGTTCCGTCCTTTTAACTAGTCTCTGGGTTCAGCTGCCTCTTGGGGTAGGGAGAAGAGAGAGAGAGAACAAGTTATAGAGGTAATCAGAATTAATACCGTGGCCCTCCGCACATGTTAGCTCAGGGCTAGCTTTTTATCCCGAAACCAGTACAGAATTCGAGCTGTTACTAGACTTGCTCCAAGCTGTGATTGGATCCTTGTGAGGCTGCCCAGAGCCGGAAGAGATCCTAATGAGAACAAATACCATGGACCTCAACTGAATGATATCCCACGGGGCAAGACTTTCTTGGCATGGACCCCAGAGTTCATAGATTTTCATTCTTGCCTCTTCAGAAAGGATAGAGTTTCACTTTTGCAGAGAGGTGGAGCAAACAGAAACTTCTGATTGTTTTGACCTTAAAAAAAAAAATCTATGCTGTAAAATAGTTTCTCTCCAATATAATTATAGCCATAGTGGACCCCTAAGCACTTGCTGTGTATTATCTTTCTAAATGTTGATAGTAGCTCTTTGGACTAGTTACTCAATTTTAAAAGTGATAAAAACAAGTCCTAATACAGTTGGCTAAGTTGCCCAAGATTATTAGAAAGAGTCTGAGGTGGGTTATTTTCCAGTTTGCCACATTGTTTCTTTCCAGGGATAACTGCATAAACTTCTCAATAGAAATTGGTGTGTGATGCTGTAAAAATAAAAGAGGACTCATGATCCAAACCAATGTTAAAAGAGGCTTTCAAAATAAGGTTAGAAGGCCATGAAGGGTTAGAGAGCTTACTCATATTTTGAGCTGTTGTCTGGAGTGAAGTTTGGTCATTTCCACCCTCTGTCTGCAAATGCCTAGGATGACCAGTGTCATATTGTGCCTAGAGACTGAAGGTGTACCGTAGGCGATTTTGAGACTTTTGTTTAATGAATATTTCTGTTTTGTTTTTTAGATCTCTTTCTTTATTTTCTTTTAGCCATGTACCTCTGCTAAGTATCCTTCACATATTTTAATTACTTTGTAATCATTTAAGAACATTTTTCCTATGTAACCAATAGTTTCCCTACTGTCTTTGGACCATTGTTCTGACCAATGTGATGCTTAATAGTTTCTGAGTTTGAAATGACATATTTCTTCCATTCACTCATCATCACAACCTCTCTGAAGTAGACAATATTGTGATATTTATTCTACTGTTGAAGAAACAAAAACCAGAGAATATAAGTAATTGTTCAAAGGACATTTACTAGAGAAGATCCAGGAAGTAATTCTGGAGTCATTGCCCATACTACTTCTAATGGAAAGGCTTGCTATTTTGATCTCTAAAATGACAGGCAGAAAGAAATGACTTTTTCATCATTCAAAGCACTCACTGCATTTTGTTAACATTAGCCTACTTTTGATGTATCAATACATTGTGAATAATACAGCTGTGAGCTGTACACAATCCTAGATTGGAATGACCACGGGAGATTATCAATAACTATTGTCTTAATCACTCTTCTATTGCTTGAAGAGACATCAGTCCAAGGAACCTATTTTAAGAGAAAGCATTAAATTGGGGGCTTCCTTACAGCCTCAGAGGTATAGTCCGTTATCATCATGGTAGCATGCAGGCAGGTGCTGGAACAGTAACTGAGAGCCACGTCCTGATCCATTGGGGCAGGGCGGGGGGGAGACACTTTGGGCTTGGTGTGGGCTTTTGAAACCTCAAAACCAACCTTTAGTGACACACTTCCAACAACAAGGCCATACTTCCTAATTCTTACAATCCTTTCAAATAATGCCACACCCTTGTTACTAAGCATTCAAATATTTGAACCTATGGGGGCCATTCTTATTCAAAGCACCACAACTATAGTTTTTTATTTTCTTATTATTAATTTTTGTTCTTTAAAAATTTTATACAAGCATTTAATGTATTCTTATACTCTATCTCCCCATATTCTGTTATCTCCTTCCCTTCTTCTCCTTCCCATCTCTATCACCACCCCCCATCCTTGCCAGTCTTTTTCCCAGGTTCATGACTTTTGGTTCTGTGATCCATTTATCTCGGGCCGTCTGTGTGACCATTGGGTTGTAACTATCCAGGGGAGACTGGGAGGGTCACATCTAAAGACAATGGCTCTTTGTTTCCCTGAATTTTTCAACAGCAAATTCTTCATTAGCGAGAGATTTGACTCTGTGAGTTCTTCCATCATCCTTGTTGTTCAATAGGCCCATTCATGTGCAGGCCCAGGGCAAGCATCCATAGCTACTGTGAGTTCATGATTACAATGATTGTTTTTCACAGAAGATGGCATTTGACAGCTCTTATGTTCTTTCTAAGCCTCAGCATTCCCTGAACCTTACCAGGGGTGGAATAAATGTCTTGCTTAGGGCTGAGCCCCCATTTGCCACTTATTCTCAGTACCTGATGCAGCCATGAGTCTTTTCATGCATCACCATTCACTGGAAAGGGAGGCTTTTCTGATTAAGGCTGAAAGTAGCGTTTGTGTATATGTATAAACATACAGATATTTAGAAGACAGTTTGATGCTCTGCCAATGTAAACAGACATCTAGTTCCCCCTTAGGGTCTATGACCCTCATCATAGATGAAGTTTACCAGACATTGATTTCATTTTTTTGGAGTGAGCCTCACATCCAATCAAAGAGTGGTTGGTTATCCTCTGATCTAGTTTCCTTTTCTGCTGCTGCAATGAACACTGTGGACAAAAGCAATTTGGGAAGAAAAGTGTTTATTTTATCATACAGGTTATTGTCCATCACTGAGAGAATTCAGGACAGGAACTCAAAGCAGGAGCTTGAAGCAGAAACAGAGGGAAGCTGCATAAGCCAGTAATGGCTGTGCATGGGAGGAACTTCCAGCTGACTATGCATGGAAGGAACTCCCAGCTCAGTTCCAGCTTGAGTTTTCTGTCTCATGAAACTCAAGTGTGTGGTATCTTCAGAGATAGGGTCTGCTATCTAGTTCCGGTGAACAACTAAGAGGAACAGCAAGAGCTTGTACTGTTTTGGGGGGCCTCTGGGACATCCCAACTAACAACTCATAATGGAATACCTTTCCTTCATTAGTAGGGTTTTTGTGTAATAATCCAAGGCTTCTAGGAGCAGTTTTTCCATGTAACAGTGGAATCTCCTGTCAAAAAACATTTAAAAAATATGTTTTAAAATTTGGTTTCAAGATATTGACCTTCCATATTTTTAAATACCCCCTTCATTTTAGTTAACCCTCTCCACCTGCCTTCTCATCTCCCCCATTCCCCACCTCCTCCTTGCTAAACCTTTCTACTCCCTGTATGCTAAACCTTTCTACTCCCTGTATTCCTTCTCTACATTCCTATTACCTGTAGTTTTATTTCAATCTCTGCAAAACTGTTGTGCAGTAGAATAGGAGAGTGATCACAAGAACCCCAAGACCAGGGTTTCTAATCCTGATTCTGCAATGAACAGCTTCTGTGATTAATCTGAATGCTTAGGTACCTTCCAAATTAGATCTAATCCTCATTGAGTTGGTGTGGTAGTTTGAATGAGAATGGTCCCCATAGTCTCATAGAGTTGAATGCTTGGTCACCAGGTAGTGGTACTATTTGGAAGGATTAAGAGGTGTGGCCTTGTTGGAGGAAATGTGTGACTAGAGGTGGGCTTTTAGGTTTTCAAAAGCCCAAGCCAAACCAAGAGTCTTTCTCTTTTGGCTGTAGGACTAAACTTCCGAAACTGAAAGCAAGTCCAAATTAAATGCTTTCTTTTATAAGAGTTGCCATGGCCATGATGTCTCTCCACAGCACTAGAACACTTACTAAGACAAGTGATATTAATGAGGGCCTTCAGGAAGTTATATCATGCCAGAGGGGTTCTGGGAATGGGATTAATGTCTTTAAAAAGCATAGTTGAGAGACCCTGTTGCTGTTTCTATCATGTGGATGAATGAAAAGGAAGAAGGCATCCTCTTTGAAGCATAGAGAGGGCACTTGCTAGACATCAAGTCTTCTGGTATCGATTTTGGACCTTTGGCATCTACAACTGTGAGTAGTATGTTTCTATTGTGTTTATCTTACCTAAGACTGACCCAGCTAAGACAGTGATCTTGCTGACTCACTTAACTTTACTGAGCTGCAATTCTTCTATCTCCAACATTCAAGAAATAAACCAGAGAGCCTCCAGGGTATCTGTCCACTCTCATTTCTGAGCTTTCCCTAACATTACATAAAAACGATTTCAAAATAATGACAAAACGCTTTTAGAAATGCAAAAAAAACCTGTAATATTTAATATTTCCAAAGATGAAAATAGATAATTTTTGTAGAAACACTAGGATTATACTTAAAGACTTTTTTCTAACAATGTTATAAACCTAACAACATGTAAGTTATCTGTATATGAAACAATCAAACTTTGACTTTTGTAAGTAACATTTTATTAAAAAAATAAGATTTAAATAAATTAGTCGAACATCGTAACTGTGAAGTAAGGACATGACTAAAAGAGTTAACATCTTTAAAAGAATTAAACTCATGATGTGTTTTCAGTGTCTACTTTGAAAGGAACAAAGATTTGGGAGAACATGAATTGGAAAAAGAGGAGTAGGGTGTCCTAGAAAAGAGTAGTTTCCCCCTAATGGTTAATTATCTATAACCATTAATTTATACAGGTGTATTTGTAGGTAAACTAACTGTATTTATTCAATTGCTGAAAGTGCTTTAAACCTACTTCAAAATTTTTACACTCTGCATGTGAGGGAAAGCTAGCAAAATCACCTATCAAACACTATCACTCTTGTTTTCCTCAATTCCAAAAGGAGTTTGGCAGGACCCTAGTAGTGTTTGATAATTTTTTAAAGTAATGAATAAACATGGACTAATATCCACAGTCCCAAATTAGTTTTTTCTTTCCTTTTAAAGAACTCGGTGGGTTGCCACTAAGTTCTGAGCTTTGTCATTTCCTCCTGTCCGCATCTTCATGAGACAATGCAGAGATGTTTGATCCTGTCTCAATACTCCACTTCAGAAGAGCTGAGTATAGCCTGACCTTGCTGGGCCAGCTTTCCTCAGCCAGCTACAGCAGCATTTCCCTGCAAGTGTCATGTCTGGTCTTCTTTAACTTGAGGAAGTCATTGAGTTTCCCATTTAATTCCATGCAGATTTTGGGCCTTAAGCTTGCGATCACTCTGTAGTCTCTGAAAATCTAGCAGAAGACTGTGCTAGATTTAGTTCTTTCACAGACTTCCACCTTCCCTCCTTCCCTCTGGACTCATGCATCCCTCTGTCTAAAAGGAAGAAGGGATTGCCCTAGATGGCTTCTAAGACAGTGGAAGAGGAAAGCTCTCACAAAACTGTGCATTGAGAGTGAATAAAACGTAGGTAACCAACATATGGATAGAGGGATGAGTGGTGGTAGAGTCCTGGCCCCTGTACTCCTGGTCCTGAGCTCACTCCTCTTCCCTGTCAGGACAGTGACACCAGTGGGAATGATGGTTCTTAAGCCAGTGGTTTGCAGGCCCAGCACAGAGCAGACACAGACATTTTGGATATGGTGGTCCTTCAGGACAAGGGTGGGCAAACTGAAATGTCCGTTCTTCTTTATTCTTTCATTTCACCAAAGGAGCAGTAGCTGGGTCCCAGGCCTCGCACAGTGCAGTCGGTGCTGTCGCTGTCACACTTGCCACAGTGACATTCAGTGGCTACTGGGTATGTGTAGAGGGAGTCTGAGTGGTGAGCACAGCCAGGCAGTCTTATGGTCTCATACACCAGCTCCTTGAAGGTGCATATTTTCTGGGTGCTGGGTCTGGCTGGGTCCTTATACACCAGATCCTGAGGAGTTCAGGAAAGGGAGGATTAGGATAGGCTATTTTGAAGCTTCCGTTCAGGTTAGTCAAAATGAGACAGTAATTTAATACTACATGCTTTCGCATTTACTCATTAAAGCCCACATAACGCCATAGACCACCTATGCAGTGTACCTCCTTTCCTAATTCTTCTGGAACATTTCTTAATTATTCTGCAAGTCTTACAGAAAATGTAAGTCATTTCTTTCCTAATCCCCATGGCCATATCAGAACATTAGTTATTTGTCAAAATGCAAAGGAACGTTGAATTTCAGTATAGAAGAATGATGAAAAGAGACATAATGACTTAGAATTTCAGTTGCCTTTTCATACTTAGTGGAAAGCTATATTAATGACAACTTAAACTACAAGTATTACAGCTTAACTTTCAGAAAATGTATATATTGCTTACATTTATAAAATAGTAAAATAATATGATATGAATACTAATGCTTATCATGTTTATGAACACCCTTGTAAGAGGTGGATTATTCCATTGCTCAGCAGACGTCTTTTCCCTTTTAAGTGCTGTTTATGGTGTAGTGCTCTGAGCTTCACAGGACATATACTCTGCCTATAAGAAGTTTTTTTTTCAAAATCAAAAATTGTTCATTTTAGGACTTTCCAGTGGAAAATTTATTTGTGCGGAGGGGAGAAAACGAGGTTGCTGCTCATTTTATTTTAGTGGCATGCTACCCAATCAATAGCCCCAGAAAGGGGCAGTAAATTGTATAGTAAGTAGAGTTTGGTTGAACTCTTTTATCATTGGATAAAGTGTACCTCATCAGAAAGTTCTATTTTTCTCAGTTTGTGGTATGAAACTCTCCATGAACGAGAAGGTAAAATGGGTTAAAAAAGAGGCAAGTGAGAGGTGTCTCTTTACTCGTATTGATGCAAAGAAGGGGTGTGAGTTCTGGCTGGTGACTTAATGCCTCTGTGTCTCCGTCCTCTCAAAGACTTAGAAAAATAAATGGGGGTATGTTTGTGAATTTAAAAAGCCTGCCAGGATTGACTGTGTTCTCAGGCTACTTAGAGGCAGTATGTGCAAGCAGAGCTAAGGACAATTTTTATAAGGCACTATTTATGTCTTCATGTGACATCAAAACATATTTGAAATTATCTCAAGACCCTAAAGATAAAGATTGCCTTTAAAAAACATTGTTGTTCTTTTATGGTTACATATATATATATATATATATATATATATATATATATACACACACACATACATACATACATACACATGCATATATATTCCCTATTTACCTCTCTACATATAAAATATGGCATAGAAATTCTTTATATTTAGAAATAGTCAGTATGTTACCAAGTTTATCCAATTCCAAGGTTTTCTAAGTTCACCCAAATAAAACCCCAGCCTCAAACTGACATCCTAATTATTAACTCCATTTACAGCACAGATACGATTAATTAGGGAACTATTGCTTGGGAAATTAAAATATTGATAAAGTGAGAATTTATCAAGCCTGCTTAATACAGCTCCCCAGCACCCGTCTCCAACAGAGCAAAGGACCTACCCTGGTGTAGCAGTATCCGGCACACCAAGTGGTGTTGATGCTTATGCAGAAACGACACTCTTCTTTCTCTACCGCGATGGTGATGTTGGTTAGCTCACAGCCCTGGCAGCAGATTGCTCGCCAGCACCAGAGTAGGATGCAAAACTGTATCGACTTCATCCTGGGCTGGGAAGGAAGCAGCTATGTCCTGTTAGCAAGAGAGAAGTCATATAATTAAAATCACTGTGAAAACTGACCAGCTGAGAAACAGTTAGCCCTTTCATTCTTCTTGAATGTTCTGCTTGAGCAAGGGCTTTTACTTTTTTGCTTCCTGGACCAATATTTCTCCTTCTTTTTTGGGTTGTGGGCTGGATGGGGTTATGGTAGGGTAAAAGTAGAAACATATAAATAAAAATTCCAATATGATGATTTAACCAAATCAGTATTTAAAGATGAATTTATTACCATCTTAAAGTGATTATTCCAATCAGGTAACTGTGATCCTTATATTTGCTGCTTCATTAACAGTTTTAAAGACTAGTTTGTTTAAAAGGAAGAAAATTTTCTATAACAGAACTATTTCTTCATTTTTAGCACCATTTAAACATCTGTGTTTGCCCACAACCATTGACAAGGAGTCTATTTCAGAAGCTGGGCAAACTGGTCTATAGGTGAGAGACTCTTGATGCTAGTGCATTGACCATATTCAAGAAGCCAAGTTAACAAGAATAAGTTTCTATACAGCAGTGACAGAGAATGGACATTCCTTCTCTAAATCTGAAAAGTCTGCAATTTCCAAAGTAGCTGTTCTTTCTGCACCAAGGGCTGAAACTCACCTTTTTAGGTAGCTGTCTTTTCTGGGGAAAGCTGAATACTGAGTAAAGTCACACATCCCCTTTTATACAAAATTAACACCCTGTGGATTTACTGGGTGTTAGAATGACCAATACTAAAGCAAAGCCTCCTATTCGGTGAATCAGTGTTTAGACGGACAGGGAGATCAAGCCTTGCCAGTGTAGTCTAAACGCCATAGAGCAGCAAATGCTATCAGCGATGAAGATTTCTGTACAAATCGAATTTGATATGGTAGCACGCCTACTCCTTTACCTTGCTAAATTAAATGTGGCTCTGGAGTCTAGACTGTTCTTTCTGATCTTTAACTTGGAGAACTCAGAATCCTTTCCAAGCATTGCTTTGGCTCCATTGAGAAGGTACACCAAAATATGTCTAATCAACTGTTCTAAGAACAGACTGAACTCTAAAGATGGGATGGGTAAACATGTGGGCTTGGGGAAAACCTAAGATGGTCTGCATAGACATACTGACCTTGAGGTGCCCATAATACACTTAAATAGACTGGTGAGTCTGGAGTTTAGAGAAATATGTTGACTGAAGATGTAAATTTGGAAGTTGATGGCAGGGGGCTGGGTGAGATTACCAAGGGAGTGGATTTAATGAGAATAGAGGAGTTGAATCTGGTTAAACTTCAATATTAAAATGTCAAGAATACAATGAGTTTCCTTCCTCTTCATCCTCTTTGTTTTCTTCCTCTTTTCCTTTTCTTTCATCCAAATGAGGTCTAGAAGGGTTATTGAGGAAGGTATGGACTGAAGGGAATGTGGTGTCCTAGAAGCTAGGTAAAGAGAACATATCAAGGTAGAGGAAGGGACAAATTAGTCCAATGTTGCATAAGTGGAGGGCTAAGAATTGCACAACAGATCTCACAATTTAAAGATCTAATTCTCAGCTAGAGAAGTTGAATGGATGGAAGCTATGACCTGGTGTTTGTTTAAATGGTCGGGAAGAGATGACATGTAGGGAACATAGGCAATTCCTTTAAGAATTTGGTCACAAGCATCAGCAAGAAAACTGGGTAATTGGGGCAATGTAGAAGTAGAGAAAAAATAATTTATTGTTATTTTTACTTTTATGGGGGGAAGTACATGCCTGCTCATATGGAGATGAGAATGTTTAAATGGAATGAAAACCAGTAAACTGGAGAGATTGTTGAGTGTCCGTAAAGACAAGAGAAACAGATGGTTTTTAGAGCAAATATGGAGGTTCTAACTTTAGGTAGGAACATGGGGAGCTCAATCCCCAACCAAGCAGGAAGGTAGAGCTCAATGGTGAATGAACAGGTGTGGTAGGTGGGTAAGTATGGAGGGATGGCAGATGTGGAGGGAGGGCATGTGTGGAGGGAGGGCAGGTGTGGAGGGAGGGCAGGTATGGAGGGAGGGCAGGTGTGGAGGTAGGGCAGGTGTGATAGGTATAGATGCTTATGGGCAAGAATCATGGTGATAGGCTATAAGCTGGCCTTTGATTAATTTCCTTTCCCAGTAAGACTGGGAACATAAAACAGTAGTCATAGCCATCATTTGGTAGTAAGGACAAGGGGTGCTGAGAATTATGGAAGTCTTTCTAAAGGAGTCTTACCATTGGTATCGCTCTTAGTAATCTCTTGTATTTTGGAGTCAACTCTTTACATGTACTTAATCTGTATTCACAAAGTGTATTTATGTGGCTATGTATCAATTTCTATATTTCAATAATTCATGTATATGTAGTTTTAGTCATTCCTGAAATATGTACTTAAAATATTAGCAACTTCTTTACATTAGTGCCCACGGCTCCCACAACGCATAAGTATATTAAATATGTGTTCATATATAATCCTGACAGCAACCTTTTGAAGGACTTATTACTCCCTTTTGAGAGATGTGGAAAGTGAACTAAGCAAGGTTACACACTTGCTGGGGTACAGCCGGTCTGGCCCGCACTCGGTCTCGCTGCCTCCACATCTGGAGCACTGCTCATTGACCCATGCAGATTTGGGGTGGGGTACAGTTCTCATCGTTCACTTGTTTTTGGAGAGGGGTCAAGACAGACGCTCTCCAACAGCAGTGGCAACGTTAGGTGCAACGGCAGACACGAGCTGTGAGCAAAGTTCATTTATTCTAATTGAAAAACATATTTAAGAAGCCGTTCTAAGGGTCAATATTTTAATTTACAGTTACATTTGCGTCAGAGTTCTAAAATAACCCCATTCTCCTTGTCTGTTCAAGAAGCCCCAGATCTGTCTCAGTTGCATGCCTAGCTTAGTTTATCTATTAGTTCATATATTTCTTAAGTGATGCCAGCAGCTCACTGGGTACTCTTAAACTTTTTTTTAATCTAATTTGATTTTTTCAGTCTAATTGAAAAAAAATCATTGTGTGCTGTGCAGGTCTTCCTTAGCCTGCTGGCTGTCGGTGCATTCCCTTTTCTTGTTTTGTTCTGCTGTTTTGGGAGGAAAGGCATCTACAAGGCGCACTTCTCATAGTGTGAGAGGGCCTTTACCTTCCCAAGGGGAATGGTTAGTAAGGAGAAGAGGAAGTGTGGGCTTTACTTTACTTCCTTTACTTTATGACGGTATCTACTGGTGTGACTACTGGTGTGACTGCGTTCTCCTGATATGCACAGGTTGCAATGGACAGCTCCTCTCTGTGGCAGGCCCTAGCTCTTTGGAGGAAATCCCAGATGTTCTTTGGGTCTCCCCTGAGGTTTTCTCTTTGTGGCCTCTGGCAGTTCTCTCGGCATTCCTCTGTCCCATGGGTAAGGAGGACTTCTCTGGATTGAGGCACATTCCTATGTAGCGTCTCAGCAATTCCTTGGGGCTCCTGTGTTTATCAGGTATGTTTTCTGCTGTCTTGACTGGTCTCTGGTTAATATAGCTACTATTGGCTTTCAGTCCTCCAGAAAGAAAATCTACTTGGGGCTGAGTATAGTATAGTAACATTAGTTCACTGTTTACTGAAATTTTGAACAATATTCAGGAAAACCTACTACATCACTCTTTATTGGGTTGAGCCTCATCCACATTTTGCAGTCCCCAGTGTTTGCTCTCAGCCTAGTATTTTCTGTTTTTTTTTTTCTTTTGAGTCCTTACCTCAGTGGCGACATACATCCTACATCCTAACAGCAGACTTCTGAGAATCTGGATAAACCAGCTTCTCCAAGTCTTAACATGTCAGAGCTTCTGTACACGTGTGCTCCATGTTGCAGTTTCTTCTTTGATTTGCAAAGGGGGTTTTCCAGTAATTCATTCATGCTTGAGTTTAAAGCAGGGAATTATTTGAGCTGAAATCCTGAGAAGTTATCTGTTCTCTACAGTGAATTTTCTCCCCCACCCCATTTTCATTTGTTCACATGAAGTAGGTTTTTTTTTCCTTTTTTTATTAAGAAAATTTTTTCATTCATTTTACACATTAATCAAAGATCCCCCCTTCCCTCTTCCTGTCCCCCAAGCCTACCCCTCCCAACCCATCTCCCTTTTCCCTCCACAAGAAGACAAGGCCGTCCATGGGGAGGCACATCCAGTAGAGGCAAGTCCAAGCTCTTCCCCCTGCCTCAAGGCTGCACAAGGTGTTCCATCATAGGTAGTGGGCTCCAAAAAGCCTGCTCATGAACCAGGAATGGGATGTACATTTTGAAATGTAAAGCTTTAAATGTTTAACATATTTTGGGTTTTGCTTTATTTATTCTTGAAATTACTTTAATTTTTAAAATTTACTTACTTCATTTAGGCCACAAAGTAATAAATAACTATGTGATATAATGTCCCTATAGAAACTGCCTAATTCTGTTGTTTTAGCCCCCTTGAATGATCCAGCAAGAATAGAGTTGACCTTTGATGCCCAATTATAGCAGACACCAATCACATGTAGTTATTTTGGGTTTGAAATTTGGTTAATAATTAAAATGCTTGGTTATTTCTAAAATAGATGCTGGATCTTAAAACAAATGAAGAAAGCATCTAAACTCTCACATTAATTACTTTGTCTTTATTATGTTAGAAATGACATTCATTTAGATATATGAACCGAAGTAAACTATGAAGTGGAAATCTTACCTATTCTGTTTTAACTTTGGCCTTGCTTTCAAATGTGGTAATTGGAAATAATTGAATTCTAGGATGGCTCAAATTTGATTTCTGTTGGCTAATTCTAGCATGTGACTTGGTGGCTAATGAGGAAGTTTACAGAGATTGCTAAATCTGCTTGCTGGTCTAAAGTCTGGTTCACATGCATTCTACATTGCCAGGCAGGGCCAGCTGATACAGGCACAGCAAATAAGAAAACGAAAAGCCCACTGTTTGCCCATGCTTGTCAATATGAAGACAAAGTATGTATTTGGTGTTTTTCTGGGAAGAGGTCAGGAGAGGCAGTCTTTGTACTAAACTTCTTTTTCTTCTCCACAGGGCCTGCCAGCTGGGGATTTAATTTATTTCATCAGAGGGGACAATGGCACAGTAGGA